CTGGTTCCGCTGGTGAACGGCGCCGGGCTCCGCTGCGGGCTCGGTGTCGTTGGCGGCGGGGCCGCCGCCGCCTCGCTGGCCGCCATCTCGGCCGCGCCCGCCCCGCTGGCCGTGCCCGTGCCCCAGCAACCGGCGGCGGCGGCGCAGGCGGCGGCCGGGCAGGCCGGCGAGCTGGGCCACAAGCGGCCCGGCTCCGTCTCGTCTTCGTCTTCGAGCGGCGGCGGCGCGACGGGGGAGCACGACGGCGGCGGCAAGGAGAAGCGCTGCTCCACCGAGAGCGTGCCGGCAGCGGCGGAGATGGGCGCCGAGGGCAAGAGCCGCGCGGGCGGCGAGGAGTGGCTGGCCAAGCCCAAGACGGTGCGGGACACGCTGCTGGCCCTGCACCAGCACGGCGGGCACGCCGTGCCGCCTTTCGACAGCAAGTTCAAGAAGGAGCCGGGCATGGCGGGCGGCAGACTGCTGGGCTACGAGAGCAACGGCGCCGCGGCCAAGCCTGGTGAGGAGCGGGGCCGGGGCGGGTGGAGGGGGTGCGTGCAGAGCCGGGGCGGACGGGGCCGGGTGTCTGTGCGTGTTTTGGTGTTTCGCACGTTTCGCTGGCCGCGCCTTCTCGGTGGTGCCTTGCGGCGGTGCGTGGCCGCCTTCTCACCCCTCTCCCGCTCTCCTTTGCCTTCTAGGGGCCCGCGCAGCCCGGAAGAGGAAGCCGTCCCCCGAGCCGGAGGGCGAGGCGGGACCCCCGAAGATGAACGGGGAGGCGCAGCCCTGGCTCCCGGCCGCGTCCGAAGGGATGAAGATGCCGCTGACGGCCACCTCCTTCATGTCACCCCCGCCGCCCACCGCCTCGCCCCACTCCAACCGGACCACGCCGCCCGAGGCGGCCCAGAACGGCCAGTCCCCCATGGCCGCGCTCATTTTGGTGGCGGACAATGCCGGGGGCAACCACGCCTCCAAGGAGGCCAACCAGGTCCACTCCACCACCAGGAGGAACAGCAGCAGCCCCCCCTCGCCCTCCGCCATGAACCAAAGAAGGCTGGGCCCCGGCAGGGAAGTGCCGGGCCAGGGGGGCAGCGCGGCGGGCGGGCTGGAGCCCGTGCACCCCGCCAGCCTGCCGGACTCGTCCCTCGCCGCCAGCGTCCCCTTGTGCTGTACCCTGTGCCACGAGCGCCTGGAAGACACCCACTTCGTGCAGTGCCCTTCGGTCCCGTCCCACAAGTTCTGCTTCCCCTGCTCCCGGCAGAGCATCAAGCAGCAGGGGGCCAGCGGGGAGGTGTACTGCCCCAGCGGGGAGAAGTGCCCACTGGTCGGCTCCAACGTGCCCTGGGCCTTCATGCAGGGGGAGATCGCCACCATCCTCGCCGGGGATGTGAAAGTGAAAAAGGAGAGAGACTCGTGACTGTGCCGGCCCAGCGCCGCCCGTCGCCCAAACTGCTCCGGTTCTGTATATATCTATAAATATATATATATAAATATATATATATCTCCAAGACAAGGGAAATGTAGACTTCATAAACATGGCTGTATAATTTTGATTTTTTTGAATACATTGTGTTTCTATATTTTTTGAAGACAAAAGGTATGTACTTATTATAAAGGCATTTCTTCTAATTGTCCTTTTTTTTTTCCTCCCGTCCTTCCCCTCCGCTTTTTTTTCCCCCTTTTGTTATAGCAACTATTTGTTGTGCTTCCCTGGTGACAATTACTGTTCGATGTAGGCTGTGACTTGCGCTGCTTTTTTTAGAGCACTTGGCAAAACAGAAATGCTTCTAGCTGTATTTGTATGCACTTGTTTCCTTTTCCTTTTTTTTTTTTCTTCTTTTTTTTTTAATGCCAAATACACTTTCTGACATTGTAAAGATCGCCTTACTGTCTGTGATTCCTTATTGCTGGCCCCTGTTTCTGTAGGGCTGGTGGCACGAGGTGCTGGGGGCAGGCGGGTGCAGGGAGCACGAGGGGCTCCTCCCGGGAGCGGCTGTCCGCCTCGTGTGGCCGTGCCGGACCCAGTCCAAAATTCCTCCGTGTTTCTCAAGGGAAGTTGCCTTTGGAGTAGGATGTGGAGAGGTGTTGGAGAGGCGCTGTTGAGTTAGGGATTTCTGGGTTGGTTTGTTTCTGTTGGTTTTTTTTTCTTTTCCTTTTTTAAGGCAAAGTTGACCGCAGTTCACGTGATCAGTTGTAAGATTACAAAACTGCATCTGTTCACCAATTGCGTACTCTAACGTGGAATTGTGATAGCCAACCTAATGACATGATTGGTGACTGCACTGGTGTAGCACTGCCGTCTCTTAAAGGCCTTCAGCATTGGGGTTTTGTGTCTTTGGACAATGCTGGGGAGGTGGGAGAAAGACTGTTTATTTTCTTTCTAATTTTACTTTAATTTTCAGATAGTGCAGGTGGACTTTCGAATTTGCTTATCAGTCTCCTCTGGTGCTGTTGCTATTGTTACTATCGCTGACACGGTGTAGTGTGCCTGTAGTGGCAGGTACGGTGTGGTACAATGACAGCAGCAACTGAGGTTCTGCCAGATTGCCTGCGGGCATATCAGTGACAGCCCAAATGTGGGTGGAGGAAACCTGCAATTTCCTTATTACATGTGCTTGAAACAAACCTACTGCTATTCTTTGAAAATGAAAATACAAACTGGTTGAAATGCAAGCAATTAGGGCTTCACATAATTGCCATGGCCCTGACTTTTAAGCTACTTTGGAGAACTCTTTTGTAAAGCCACTTATTTTGATCACGCTTCTGCATCACCAAGCAGACTTCTAAAATCAATAAATCATTGGTTACTAGAAATAGTTGAGTCTTATAGTGATGTTTTTGTGCTGTTTATAGTTCGTTGGCAACGCTGCAGCTGGATGAGCCCTTCTGTTGAGGTGTTTATAACTGGGTTATAAGCGGTTATTTCTGAGCAAAGGGGTGGTGAGGTTGTCCCAGCCCTGGGATGAGCTAGTGAGCGCTTGGTACCCGAGGAGGAGGAGAAATCTGTTCAGCTGACGTAAATTTGAAAAATTTGGGGTGCTTTTGAGTCAACTGTTTTTATTGTGATAATGTTCAGACTGCAGTTTCATGCAGAGTAGCTCTTTTCTGGAAGACTTTTTATTTTTTTCTCTAAAGAAATGGTCATTATTAGTATTTGAAGATCAGAACTGCACACGCACAGTAATTTTTTTATGAAGTGTTTAATGAGCACACCCACTACATTGTGTTCCATATTACAAGTCAATGTAATATTAGATAAGACTTGCATGATAAACAGATTCATTGAGTCGATATTACGCTTTAAATCTTATACCTATAGTCAAGATTGGTGTCCTATGTAAACACATTTAGCCAATTTGAAGAAAACGCACATTATATATATATATATACCTATATATATTCCTATATATATAAAAACTGTAAAGGATTCTTTGGAACCACTATGATCTGTGTAAATGTGTATTTAGGCACTTTATTAAAAAAGAAAATGGATTTTGAGCTGATAGATGGTAACAAGTTCTTCAGAGTTGCTTGGCATGATACCTCTGTGGTACGGAGCTCATGTTTTTGATTAAGGTGGTATCTCTACTTTAAAACCAAAACCGAAACAGCAACACCTCCGTTCAGAGGTCCCCTTCTAAGTTACGTTGCGGCCTAGTGTGAGGGCTGGGCCTGCTCTGACAAACAGGGCCTCCTTAAGGCCTGCTGACACCAGCATGGTCGGTGGGTCCTGAGGTCAGCGCTCTCCTGCCCCATGGCTCCTGCAGCCCCTGGGTGGATGGGACGGCAGGAGGGCCCAGCTGGTCAGCCTGGCTGAGGGCCTGGTACCAGTGCTGGCTTGGTGGACCTACAGGCCCCTCTGTCAGCCTGGTCACCTTAAAGCTGCAAGACTGCAAAAGGAAACAAGCTGAAATCTGAGGGGTTTTATTCTTATATCTCATTTTTCTTAAATGCAGTGTTGCTTTTTTACTTTCTGCTGCTTTACTGAGTTACACCACCAGTGGATTCTCCATTCACACCACATCACTATTTCCTGGGCTATAGGCTTTTTTTTTCTTCTTTTTTTTTTTTTTTTTTTTAAGTGCTTTGGCTGCAACAGTGCTACTTATCTTACTCTTTAAACTTTTTAAAAGGTGATCTGTAATTTGTGTAGTATTAAAAATGTTTTACTAAAAGTGAGTGATTTTTATTATTTATTTTTTTTTACCCACATCACATTTTTAAAATATACTTTTTTTTGCTGGCAAGTCACCTGTACGCACAGCGACTTTATTTATAGCTGCTGAACTAATATTATAATTTTCACTTTTTTTCCCCCTTCACTTCTGGCACAAAATACAAGGAAGTTGGGGGCTTCGAACACTTCTGCTTTTAAATATACACACACACACACACACGCATATATATACCTATAAAATATGTACATAAAACAAAAACTACAGTTGTCTACGTGCAATATTTTAATTTTTTAAATATTGCTTCCGTCATTTATCTGTGGATAGACTAAAGCATGGAGGGGAGCATGGAGCCCCGGTGGGATGGTGCAGCACAATGGTGGCTTTGATGGCCTTTGTGGTGGCCTCAGGAAACCTGGCCTGTTTTGGAGCTCCCTTTTTTAGCTGTGCTGTAAACCAGGCCATGGCAACCGTGTGTTTTTATGAAATAGCACTTAGGAAAAGGGTATAAATACATTTGAGAGTGCTCTCTAGTGGTTTACTGTGTCAACAGAGCCCCTGGATCCTTTCCTTCTATGCCTGGGCCAGTCCTGATGGCACCTGTGCTGCCTTGGTGGCACCCACACCACCCAGCTCCTCATGCGCAGGGGCAGTCAGAGCAGCTGGCACATGAAGGTGGCATCAGCCAGGGAAAGTGTTAAATTCTGAGTGAGTTCATGGCACCAGAAGTGGCTGAGCTCATGAATGGAGGTGGTTATAGTCCTGGTTGTTACAGCCTTGGCTCCTCCAGAGTGGGACCGCTGGTGAGAGGTGCCCAGCAATTAGGCTTGAGAAGGCTCAGCCCTGAGAATTGTGTATTTCTCCTCCCAAAGTGTTTGCATTTAGCTCCATCTGGAACAATTAAGAAAGTCCTTCCCCAGAGTGGACTTGGCTCGTTTATCCTCTTGGAGATAAACTACAACTTCAAGTCTATGCTGCTAGAGGAAGCAATTGAAAAAAAATTCCCTCATAACATGTGTTTTTCCTGAGCACAGTAGTGAAAGCAGAAAGAACATCTGAGCAACAAATAGCTTCATTTTCTGCCACCGATGAGCACTGTGGGGCAGCCCTCTGCACCCTTTGTGCAATGGCTGGCCCTGTCCCATGGATGACATGTATTTCACCAGAACTCCTGAGTCACCCTTCTTTGCTTCCCTCCTCCTTTGTTCCCAGGAGCCTTTCCTCTGCTGAGGTTGGGCTTCACAGGAGATGAATGGAGGCACAGCTGTGCTATGGCTCTGAGATAACTCTTTCACTGCCTTTGGGCAGCCACCACAGTATGCCCTGGGCTGGTGGTTCAGGTATAAATTGTTTGCAGCATGCTTTTGGGAAAGAAGAAACACAGACATCTTGCATAGGATATTTACAAATCTCCAAAGGGCATGCTAGGGGCCACTGTCTTGCTTGTATGACACAGGTGTGCTGGAGCCCACCAGACAGAGTGATAAGCACACATTTTTACACACACTTCACTAAAATTTGCTTTTTTATTGTGCTGCTCAAGAGCCATTTTTGTAGTAGTGGGTCTAGCAGAGCAAAGGCCAAACCCCACACAGTGCATCAGGTAGAAGCCCCATATACCAAGAGTTCAAGAAGGAGATAGGAGCAGCTGGCACCAGCTTCCCCCCACAACCTGCTCCTTTTCCTGCCACCACTGTTAAGTCTGGAAGCTCTGCAAGCAGCCCATCCCCTCTCACCAGTCCATGGGTGGCAGGGCAGCGAGGAGAACTTGTCCTGTGCCATGTGTGCAATCCTGGGTGCTCCCAGCTCTCTGAGGTGAGTAGTGGAGTACTGGAGCTGCCCCTGGGGAACATGCGGGAGTCTCTGGTTTACAGGAGACTTCAGCCTCTGCCATTGGAGAGTATCCACCATTCACTCATTATGGACTCTGGAAGAATGCAAAGTACGTGTTTTCTTTTACCATTTTCCACTACAAAACACTTCCCCTTTCATGCTTTTTTTTTTTTTTCTCCCTTTGGCAACTGCTTGAAAACAAACAGAAGATGAGTAAACAGAGATGAAAGAGGTTACTGGTTCACCAGGTCAATTCCCTGCAGCCACAGATGAGCCCGAGATCCTCTGGGCAGGGCGTGTCACAAAGTGTGGGGGCTCTCCTTAGTAATGGGGGCCTGGGGATGCCACCTGCACGCTCAGGAGCGTGATCATCAACTGGATTGTCCTCTTCTTCCTCCCATGGTTTTGTGATTTTATGTTTTTCATCTTTCAGAGCTGAAGGAGGCCCAAATATTTTTCGTTATAATCAAAACGAATAGATTCGCTTCATTTCTTCCCCCAAAAGAACCAGGTTTTCTCCAATCCTTTTTTATAGCAGTGTCATACTCTCCAACCCTCTAGTAGTAAGAGAACTTACAGATATTAACCAATAACTGCATAATGGAGTGAGGCATTTAATTTTGTCCAGACTATTTTCAACTCTTTTTATTTCTGTTGACTTACTGCACTCAGCTGCTGCTGAGCAGTAGGAACAAATAATTTTCTCTTTTAAGATACAGCATTCCTTAGCAAGCAGTTAGCTTGGAGATGAGGTTACTCCATGAAAGACTTTTGTGGGAGCATTCATGTCAGAAGAATCAGGAAATAAATCAGCTGCCGTGCACTGACTCATGCTTTTGCAGCTTCTCCTTCTTGCATTGCAGCGAGGCCAACCTACCATAAGCACCACTTTTTCCATCTCACATTTCAGACCTATTTGTTCCGTAACAATTAAAGAAACTCACTAGCTTTCCTGTGATTTTGTGGTGGTATTGAACAGGGCTCAACCAATTTTCCCTATGAGAGCACAATTAGGGCAAAGCTGCCCTCAGAAGTTATGGACGAAAGGAGAATTCTCTTGCAGAAAGCATTGCGCTATCTATGTTAAAGCCAGACAACAAAACACTTCGTGCAGGAGCTGTGATGTGCTTCTGCCTCCCTGTACCTTGGAAGAAGCAGGCTACATGAGCCCTGCTGGAGCTTTAACATCCAGGCCAGGGACACTAATTTGTTCACAATTTCTGCTTAGACGTGTAGGCTGCGCCTTCTGGATTTCCCACAGGAAATAAATGATGATAAACAGCACGAAGCAATGACATTTAGCTGTGCTTTTAAATTGCCCTTTTGATGATTTCTTTCGTATTGTGAGAGCCCTTACGTTTTTTCAAGTTCTTCCCTTTACTCTGAAGAGACAACTAGCCTGTGTCCATAACTGAACTGACTACTTTTTACCCTCCATAATATTTTTATAGTCCAGCCAGTTGCTTCGTCTCATCAGTGCTACTTATTCAGATTGCTATGGCTTTTTTCATGGACTTCTTTGACCATGCTAAAATTAACTTGCCAGTGCAAAGGTCTGATTTCTGTTCTTCCTATCACTCTTCATTTCCCTGACTCCCACAACTCAGACACCAGCCCTCCTCCCAGCTCACTACTCCTCGACCACCTTCTCAAAACTCAGTGACCCACTGGCTTTGTGTGGGCCTCACAGAATCATAGAATTCTAGGGCCTGGAAGGGACATCTGGAGATCATCTAGTCCAACCCCCGTGCTAGAGCAGGTTCCCTACAGTAGGCCACATAGAAAAATGTGCTGCTGGGTGGGAGTTAAATATTCCAGAAAAAGAGACTCCAAAACCTCTCTAGGCACCTTAATCCAATCCTTTGTCATCCTTGCAGTAAAGATGTTTTTCCTCGTATTTGTACAGAACTTCCTGTGTTCCAGTTTGTTCCCATTGTCTCTTTTCCTGTTGCTGGGCATCACCAAAAAGAGCCTGTCCACTTGACACTCACCCTTCAGATATTTATGCACGTTGATAAGATCCCTTCTCAGTCTTACTGAAGGATGCTCAGCCTTTCCTCATGTGGGAGCTGCTCCAGGCCCCTAATCATCTTTGTGGCCCTCTGCTGGACTCTTTCCAGCAGTTCCCTGTCTTCCTTGATCTGGGAAGCCCAAAACTGGACACAGTATTCTAATTGTGGCCTCATCAGGGCAGAGTAAAGTCGGGGATCACCTCCCTCGACCTGCTGGCCACGCTCTTTTTAATGCACCCCAAGATACCATTGGCCTTCTCAGCCACAAGGACTCACTGCTGCTTCACGGCCAACCTACTATCCACAAGGGCACCTTTCTCTGCAGAATTCCTCTCCAGCAGATCAGCCCCTAACCTATACTGATGGGTGCAATTATTCCTTCCTTGGTGTGGGAATCTGCACTTGCCCTTGTGGAATCTCATCAGGTTCCTTTCCGCCCAGCTCTCCAACCTTTCCAGTCTCACTAAACAACAACACAACATT